ATTAAACTAGAAGTATTTGACTGATTTAATTTAAAATGTCCAGCCCCCATAAAGTCCAAACATCCACAGAAATACGCATCTAGACCTATAGGCAATTAAATTCAAGTGAAGAAAAATGTGAACCATCTAACGGAAACTCTATCAAGTAGTTGATTATATATTATTATCTAAAAATAACTGCCGGAGATAGATGATGGGTGGAAACATAACAGGAAGACCGTAAATATATCTAAAGGAACATGTCCAACAACGTAAGATATATACTCAAGTTCACAAAACAAAACAGATATTCTCAAATCAACAGTTATTAGAAAACAAACAAAAAAGTACTACTTATAGCCTAATAGCAGAGAACTTGTTGGAAGCATAAGATCACAGATACTATGCTCGTATCTAGTAAACATTATCTTCTGAAAACTAGGGGCTTCCATACCTTGTCACCAATGAAAGGTATCTTCCCAGATTCCTCAGCCAGGATGGCAGATTGCTGCTGCATAATGTCATCATCCCTGAAACTTGCCCAATCATCAGTTTCGGAGGTTTGTTTGGATGTTACGGTTTCCATTTCAGATTCCACCACATTCCCGTCCTGATTCTGCATCTTTACTGCTTTGTTTAAAGAGAATATCCGCTCCTTCAGTAAATTTTACGGTAACAACTGTTTCACCAAAGTCCTTGCTTTTAAGTCTACATCATGATTCAGGAAACTGTTGTTGTGCTTTCACAAAGCAATAATACTTGCGAAATATTTGCATAGCTACTATGAATTGTGATAGGTACAAATCAGAGAAGAGAAAGTCACTTTAACACCCTCAATATCACCCCCTCACACCTCCACTTCCAATCAGATCATTCATATTGTATCAATTTATTAATATGCAGTATTGCTAACTTATTATCAATAATATGACAAATATACGGCCATGCAACAAAGAGAAGAAATGATGCTAGTTGTTCCACAATCAATCTCAGAATAGAAATTACTTCAACCTGTTGATTCCAGATAGCGATTGCAAAACTCTAGGAACGAAAATTTACTCATACTAAATAGTGATTTAGGAAGCACTATGCTCCAGGGACACGAGACCCTATCCTGATGGACATGAGAGGGATCTAGTTTAAATTGAGTGGGAACATCAAGGGAGTCACCCTACCTTCATGTGCTTGAATGGATGAGGGAACATGGGAGGATTTCTAGACCAGACTCAAATATGAATAATCAGGGTCATAGTATTTCTGTTTCTACATTACAAAACTTTATGACTGAAGCATCTTCTCAAACCATTTTCTTGGAGTATCATGAATCATTTGTGGAGGAAGATTCTTGATGATTACAGATGATATATTTATTTTCATACTACAAATTAACATGTGATGCATTAGTTACAAGAAAGAAACGGCACTCGACCAGTATAGATTAAAACGTTGCTTAAACTAGATGAAAAGGTATCCTAATCCACAAAAACCCTTTCGGTGATTCTCTTAAAGGGAAAACACTACAGAAATCTCCATTCAAAAGCTCTACATTTAATATTGTTCAACAAATAAAGCAAATCTCAACAATAAAACCCTGCAAAAACAAATGACGCCGCACATCGAATCGAAACAGAAAGGCAAACAAGAATCTCACTGAACAAAAGAGTGTTCTTCTACAATCAAAGGATTAAATCAACGAGATAGCGAGAAATGGAAAATAATTGTTAAGCTGACCTGAGTCTCTTCCTGCTCCTTGGCTGCCGCACGTCCCAACAATGGCGACACCGATTGCACAACTGTTGGGGCAGCTCGATGTCAAATATCTTTATTGTATATAAATATGAACAGTAAATATTATGGATAATTCTAATAAATTAATACGTGTGTTTTTCAAAGTCCTCCCACACTCGTTCGAAATTGCACTAACACCCCTCACCATCATTCTTGTATAATTGTATTTGAATTTAAAGAAATCCTTCTATAATAATATAAAAGTTAGACATATAATCTCATAATTTCACATATAATGAAATTCTTTAAAACCAACAATTTTTAAAAATTATATCATATAAACTGTGTGTAATGTTTTGGAAAAAAAATATATAAATATCCCTAATGAGAGAAAGTTTCATTAACTTCTGATCAGCATTCAAATCTATACTTATATAATAAGAATTAACATTTATCCAAAATAGTAGGTCAAATTATGGTCAATGTCGGATTTGCATTAAATATTTTTCAAAACTGGTAAGTTTTTGTCCTTTTCACACTTCTCATTAATTATGTCCTTTTCACACATCTAATTAATTCATTAATTACGACATAATTATCATAAATTATTCCATCTGAGCTTTTATCGTTAAAATGTATAACGATCTGTTATGACCTTATCCCATTGATATTTCCATGAAGTGCGTTCTATTTTTTGGTAACCACTCTATATCAATAACCGGATATTTGGTTAATGATAGCACACGTCTTTATTTCAAGGAGCGGATATTCTTTGACTTTTAATTAATCTGAACTGATTGTCTTGACTTTTCAATTTTTAAAAACTCTTTTTTTAAATATTTCGGCTTAAGATTCGGATTTCATTATATAAGTCATCGGATTGTTTGAATGAAATGAATGAAAAGAACACAAAAAACAAGTAGCCTTATTCATATAACCAATCCTAAAATATTAGTTTGTTCACCAAAAAGAGACAAATCCTAGAAATCCTAAAATATTAGTTTGTTCACCAAAAATATTAGTTTGATTTTTAGGATTTGTCTCTTTTGAAAATATTAGTTTGTGATAATGAGGAGTTACTAAATAATCAAACTCATAATGTTGTGTACAAGGAGATTTTTAATAATATATGATTGTTACCGAACTTTTTATGATTCAACAATGTTCCTATGTATTTTAATGATTTCAATTTCGATCCTAATGCACGTGAGGTTATATTATTCTTCCAAATTTTACATCACGTGCATCGCACGGGTTACGTACTAGTTTTTAAAAAGAAAAAACCAAATAAAAATTTAAAAATAAATTCTCCTGGTTTTAGTAAAAAATGTATATGTATATATTAATAATATTTATCATAAATACAAAATATAAATAAATTAAATGATAATTAATCAAGAAAATATATAACTCTACCATTGTTATCCATTGCTACAGGTCAATGTTCACCAATCGAATATGACGAAAACCATGTCTCAAGTCGAACACTTATTAGACCTAAAATATTAAAAGATTCTTTTAGTTTCGTCATTTAATTCTTCAATCAACAATTAAATTGTCTTAAACCAATCACTTAATTGACTAATTATCTGTTGGTTGTCATTTTATTATAAGTCGAACTGTCGAATCTAATAAACTTTACATCTCCAAAAGATTAGATTCAAAGCATTATTTGATGAAATATCAAAATCTTGGGTCTTTCGATAGAGTTTTATATTTCCTACAACGTAGGAACTCACCACCTTGAAATGCAGCTATGATTTCTCTATGTCCAAAATGGAACCTCATTTTGTTTCTCTATATAAATTTTATATTGCAACTCAGAAATTAAATATAAAGCTTTTCTTATTCCAACTTGATTTTGCATTCTTATAATTACATCTTTCTCTTGCTCTCTACTGATGGTGATGGATAGTGGCAGCACCATGACAAATGACAGTAGCAACTGGGGCAATTACGAAAGAGTTCAAAAGTTGCTGGGCAATCAGTAAATAGATATACTTAATTTGTTGACTTTTGAAAAAAATCGTGTATGAAATCTATAATTTCCCTAAGGACGGGTACTTAGCGCACTTATATTTAACCTCCCTTGAGGTATTGAACTGAATTAATTTTTTTTTTTTTTTCAAAGCAGCATTATCCTTATTGAACACCAAAATATTGTTGACAAATAAGAAAAAATCTAAGTCACATATTTGTTACACACCAAGAAATGAATCAAACATCTTCGTATAACACTCAGTAATATTATCAATAATGTGTATAAAATTATAAATCAATCATTCTCTTGTTCAATTTTAATTCAATATTTATCTACTCACAAAATTTTAACTACCATCACTCTCAATTATTTATCTCATATTTTTACATCAAACTAACTACTTTAATAATTTTATTTTAGATATATTTTAATACAAACTCAAAATCACACTCAAACCTAACACAATCAATTATTGAAAAATTAATTGTAACCGTTTGGTCCTGTTTAATTTGGATAATATAAAGCTAACATTTATTCTATATACTGATTTAATAAATTGACAGTTAGTTACATACTTACATTCATTGAATCATACTCCAATATTTAGGCATTGAAATGTTTGCGCAAACAATGGGATTTTCTGTTTGTCCAAAGATTTCGAATGACATAAGTTATAAATCCGAAACATATTACCCGGAATTCCGGATGTATCACCCTTTATTTTTATTTTTTTAAAATAGAAATGAATCTCTCTTTAGCTCTACCTTTTCTCTTTTGTGACCACATGCATGCTGGTGAAATTTGAGGGTGATCATAATATTATTCTAATTGTAAAATTTGTTTTGTCTTTGACTAATATTTGGTGAGTAATATGCCTAGAGCTCCAAATCCGTAAAGATGCTCAAAATCAACAATAAGCTATATTTTTTTTACCATTTTTCTCGAAGCAATATATTCGTAGACCACACCTGCTTATCTTAACTAACTTTAGTTTTACATAATAATTGAGTGCTAATTCATTTTCTATGCCAAATAATTACCGCTCAATTTTTAATAAATGAAAAAATTAGAAAAATTGTGGAATTAATTTAGGATGAATGCTAAATTAATTTTAAATAGTATATATATGTGGAAAAATATGTTTTTTAAGTACACAAACTTGAGTTTAAATAGTCCACATGAATATTATCACATATCACTTGAATTTTTTCAGAACTCTACTTGCGTTGTACAAGTTCATATTTATATTATAGTTTAAAAGATGATATTTTAGTATAAAAATATGTATATTTGTAATAAAATTTCTAATAGACAGACCAAGACAAACAAAAATAATTTTCTCCATAGCTACACCAACATTTTATCAAATAAAAAAATGACTCTTTTCCTGGCTAGCTATATCTACAAATTATCAACCTTTGTGGAGTAACTTTCTTTTGATGTTTACGTGAGAATTTAAGATTTTGATGATAAAGATACACCTATTATTTTCTTAATTACCTACAACGTGTCCTTTGCCTAGATTAGCTTTTTCTTGTTTTAGAGAGCTTGATTCAAACTCGTAGTAATAAAAAATTCACCCATGTAAGGGCTTTGTGTTAGATAGTATCATCACATAAGTTTTCTTTTCTCTTAATTTCTTATTAGTTTTTTTCTCCAACTAAGAGACAATTTGGAGGTGCCCCTCACATGGTACCAACTTTTTTTTTCTTGCTTTATTTTTAGTTTGGATATCAAAAAAGCTATGCTTTCTATGAGAAAAATAAAAAAATACTTTCCTCTTCTAATATATTGGTCTCTATGAAAATTGATACATTATTTTGGTGTTCATCAAAATATAATATGATTATTTGATAAAATCATTAAAAAGTATTTTATTTGGTAAATTAATGTACTAATTTGATGGGTACACCAATTTATTAAATTATATATATTTTAAATAATCTTAACAATTTAGTGCATACAGTTTGGTGAATGCCAAATTAGTAATAAATATTTTTAACAGAACACAATTGAATAGAAAAAAAAATAAAAAATGAAACATTTTTCTTTACTCTTATAAAAAAAGTAAAGCTGATGTTAGGCAAACCTAATGCTAAAATAATACTTTTTCAAAAGATATTCATGCTTTCAAATTAAAATATCAATCATTAAAAATCAACACAAATAAACGTACGATATTTCACAGTATAAGATTGCGTTTTCAAAAAATAAAAAAATAAAAAATTATAATACCATTAAGTCACCTCATAAAGAATTGGCGTATAACAGAAATTTCAATCTCATGTGTTGAATCTAATAAAAAATTAAAAAACAAAGGAGAGAGAATGTGGAATTTTGGGGTAAGGAACATGCCATTTCGTATAATGACACTAATTTATGCTCACATGGCTTGTGATAATCATACATATTCTCATTATTTCAGTTTGGGTATTTTCTGCTGCATCTGATTATAAAATTGTTTTTTATTTTGGAGTCTATTGGTGTAAACGCGATTTTCTGTAACTAACTCTGATTTCTTGTTGGATGATAAAAACCGACTTAGGATTAGTTAGTTAATTATTAATATTCTTAGGCCAATGTATATAGCTAGAGTATATTTTAAACTTAAAAAATAGTGAACATATGAATAACACCAGTTATAAATACAACCAATCATTTTACGAGTTTTTATTAGATTGTTGTAGCATAAACAAGCCAGGCCATAGTCCAGTTTCAACTCGATTTATTTATCAGTATTAACAAGTTGAATTACAAAAATTTATATAAAAACTCTTCTTTTCGAGCCTAGTTGAACCCCGACTCTTAACTAAATTAAATGATTTCGAGTTCGACTTGTTTAAAAAACAAGTCGAGCTTCCAAGCAGCTCGTTCGTTTATCATATCTGAGCAAAGATTATCCAAAACTATTTGCAAATCTTTTCAGAAGCTTAAATTATACAAAATTTTGGAAACTATTGGTTAGTGATCGACAATTACGATTGATAAATTGAAAATAAAAATAAAAATAAATGTACTAATTATATGCATATTGATGATATCTCCATATTTAACATGTAACCATGATTGTACCCAGTCGTCACACATTGAAATCCTAAAGAACAATATCCAAGCAATACATAGGAGATCCAAAAATTATTTCTGAGTAGACCATACTTTTTATTAGATATACTCTTTTAAGTTACTTTCAAAACGCCAGTCGATCACATCATGATATGATTATGATGAGGAAGATTATAGTATTATAGATAACTGAACCTCATCAAATAATGATTAGAGGAGTGAGTCCAATAATTGCTAGCAATCTGATTAAAATCATGTTCATGATCATGTACATAGAAATGGGCAATCATGAGCTCGATCGGAATCTCATTAAACCGACGTGCAAAAAGTTGTATAGTCTCTTTGTGTGTGTCATCTCGCAATCCCATCTTCCAAGTGCTTTCATATGATTACCCAAAGTTTTCTATGACCATTGATCCCCATGCCAATATTATAGGTTACAAATGTGTTTCTTTGATTAGTTTTTTTTTTTTTTTTAGTTTTTTTTTTTTTTTTTATTTTTCTTTTTAAGTAGAAAAATTTAGAAATTGTAAGGTAGATGATATAGCCTTTATTAGAATATAATATCACTTGTGAGTTGTCCCACATCGGTTATACAGGGATAATAGGTCTAACTTATAAGCCTAGTGGGCTACTCCTCCTACTATTAATTAGTTTTGAGATGAAACTTCACTATGGTGTATCTAGGCTCACTCTGATATGATGCTCATGTGCGCGTTGGACCGCACAGATGTCTTACAGCATTACTAAACCGGATTGACACCAAGTAAAATAGATTGACCGCCTTGCTAAACCGGATTAACACCAAGTAAAATAGGTCGACCGGCCTGAAAAGAAAGGCCAGATCAACTTGAAAAGACTGTTTGTGAATAAACATGTGTGTTTGTGAATAAACATGTGTATGATGGATCCGGGACACTGGCATAGACCTGCAATTACTCAACAGGATGACTTGGAGAACAACGATCAACACTTGTTGTGACAACTTGAGAACATCAAGAGACCTGAGTTAAAGAAGACCTAATCAGGATAAGAGGAAATTTAATGAAGATAAGAAGGAATCTAATAGTGATAAGAATGGAATCAAGGGTACAACGGTTACACTCTCTACACATTTTCAGAATTCTCTAGATACATTATACATTATCATCTTTTTCACTTTATTGATTTGAGCACCGGAATGCTCAAGCCGAAAACCACTCCCGACCCTTTATATTGTAGGTACTCATCTATTCTTTTGGACGATCAGATGTCTTTCTCAGCCGGTTCAATGTAACTCAAATCTAGGTCCCGTCACACCAATAGGCATCCTTAACTTTTGGTTACGTCAATGTAGTTTGGTATGTGGATACCCGATACCAACTAGTGAAGGAGCTACAATACATAAACATAAGGGAGAAAAGGTCAATTTACACATGCCGCGCCCATAAACCCTACACATAGTTTGATATTGTATTTTGAAAGTCCAATCTACTTATATGTAAATTAAATGTTCCACCATACATGTTTAATTAATAATTATTATTCTTTTTCAGTTATAGTATCGGTTGATAAAAAAATAGTATTGACAACATGGTCAAACTCCCGCGAATTACATTGGTCCGCCTATCTAATAATTGGAGGAATAATGTTGAAAAAAAAAATCACTAGGTCACATAGTGGCAATTTAGATTCAGGGGTGCATATGCCTAATAATTATCCATGCATGTGATAGATGAATCCAATTAGTATTCAGTAATTTACACCTTTTTTTTTTTTTNCTTCTTCCATGTTCCACTAATCATAATTAATTCATCAACCCATTAATATAATCAGCACCTCGAAAAACAATACCCCTTATTTAAACCCATCCTTTCTTAATCCTTATTCACTCAACTCCAAGTAGTGCCACAAACTAAATCATCATCAAGAATTCATAATTAACAGTTGAATTAATTAATTATCATGGATAGCATGAAAAAGAAGGGCAAGAGAAAAGGTGGAGATGATTCTTCTTCTTCTTCTTCGGGCAATCGGTTTCTTGGGGTGAGAAGACGTCCGTGGGGCCGATATGCAGCGGAGATAAGAGACCCTTCGACTAAAGAGAGGCATTGGCTCGGAACTTTCGACACGGCTGAAGAGGCTGCGCTAGCCTACGACAGGGCCGCGCGGTCCATGCGCGGGTCACGTGCGCGAACCAACTTTGTCTACTCTGACATGCCACCTGGCTCCTCACTCACTTCCATCATCTCGCCAGATGAGCAGCATCATCAAAATTTCTCAATCAACTCGGAGCATTTCAACTTTGGAATACTATCCAATAATGATCAGCAAGGATTTCAGCTCATGATCACTAACAATAATAATGGTAATAATAACAATTATCATGAGTACAGTCAGCAGGGGAGTGCTGAGCTGCCGCCTTTGCCGCCGGATATAAGCTGTGGTTCGGAGGAGCCGCCGTTACTGTCGGAAGTGGGAAATGATGTGGTGAATGAGATGAGGTGCCTTGAGCTGTCGGACCATCGCCTTAGCTTCGATGCTCCCTATGAGGCCTTTTTCGGGTTCCACCAATCTTCTTCACCCACTTATGGATGGTTCTGATCCTTAATTTCTCTTTTCATTTCATTTTTATCACAATTTATTTGAATGCTGTCGAGGAATTTGTGATGGTCGGTTTGTTTGGATTTGGCTTCCATCATGCTTTGTNATATATATAATATAATGCATTGAATGGTTTTTTTTCGCATGCAAAAGAATGGTATGTTATACAGCTATGGAGCGGATAGAATCTTGACAATTTTTTTTTTTAAAGTTACAAAATTGAAGAAGCCAATTAGATTATCATTCCTAATTCCTAACACAGAAAGAATGTGTGAAATATCATGAATAAATCATTATGAAATATCATGTTTCTGTTATAGTGTTACTAGCTAATAAATAAATAAATAAAACTAACACTCTTTCATAACACACCTTGCTCTCAAGGTCAAGACCGTATTATATTTTATTCCTTCTTTTATGTCGGATAAAATAAAAGAAAGATGTAAGATACTACATAAACAGTTCCGTTTTAGTATTGACATCAATTTTGTCGTTTTCATAAAAGTTGAAACTAACAAGAAAAAATAAAAGGAAGGGCAAAAGCAGCACGTTCAGGAACTATTAAACGAACATTTCAGTTATAAAAGGCATTTTTTTTATAAACAATAAACAGTTAGTTAAAAGCAACAAGCAATCTTAAATATTGGTGCTCGTTATGTTCAGAAAGAACGTTTCAATTCACACAAATGAAAATTTACTTCCAAAGGCCTAAACTTGAAAAAAGGGTTGGTGATAAATTTTTCATACTTTTACATGTATGCTATCAGAAGTTAATGCAATGCTCATTATCATAAGTTCATAACCCAACGCCATCACCTAAACTATGATCTAACAGAGGTGTGTTGTAAAAGGGAAAAATACGGTATAAAAACACAGATATATCTACATAAGCATAGCAATAAAAAGATGTTTATTATAATCATGATTCTGCTTGCTCGGATTTCACGGAGGGCATGCAAAGACTGTTGGCAACTACAGAATCCGTGACCAAGCCAACATCAACATCGTCAAAATTGAGGCTGCCTCTCAACTTCCGATTTCTGATAACAAAGTAATATCGAGGGTTAATCGACATTAATGCAGCAGTTTTGGTCAGTAGATATTGCTAACAAATATGTTGCTACATTAACTTACCCGTTCAAGCGGTTATTAATGGCTGTCAAATCTTTCGAAGGGCTCTGATATGCATGAGTACTTTCTCCCACACAAGCATAGTAGCTTTTAGAGCTATGTGAAATTAATGCATCCATCTGTAAAATGTCATAACGCTAATTATTAATTAATTTTCAATTATGAAACATGCTTCCTTACAATTAATCACAGACTTACAGAAACTTAGATGATCGCAATGGAGAGAAAACAGAAACTTGTACAAGATTTCCATGATCATTAATAAATCTCAAATGTGTTAACAGTTCAGACCTTAGATGATCGCAATGGAGAGACATAAACGTTGTGTGCTGCAGAGACTTTCTTTGGGGACATGTCTGGAAGACTTGGAAATGGAGAGGTCCTAGGTGATGCTGGGAATGGTCCTGCTTGGTTAAATCAATATTAAATTTATATAATTTTCTTTTTTTTTTTTTTNTTTTTTTTTTTTTTAAAAAAAAAAGAACGGTTTTCTTGCTTTTGGCACAGAATTTGAACATAAAATCGGGCTGAAGTAGATTTGACTAAGAAGACTATAACCACCAATGTTACTGCTAGCCTCTGAGGTATGCGAATTGCTCTGTACCGATCCACCATTGCCAAGCTCGACTAGAAGAGGTTTTACAGCAGGAACAAATACTTCATTGTAAAATGTGATGATATCAACATGGTCTGGACCATTTTTCTGTTCATAAATAAAGAAATTAAAATGATTAAGACTGCCAACAGAGCACCAATTCAAGAGGCAAGGCAAAAAAAAAAATACCCCATTGCGACGTAGAGCTGTCCAACCAATATAGATGCTGCGAAAAACTTGCGGTTTGCATTGGGGTTGTTTTCTATAATTGAAAATGATTTCTTTGAATGTCAGGTTCAGTTGGGAAACCTACGGCACATAACCGATTGTTAGAAAAATAGTAGAGAATCAATTTATAAATCAGGGAGAGAGGCTTGAAGCAGACCTTAGCAACTCCATAAAAGCAGCAGAGAATAATTTGGTCAATATGTCGGTTGAAGAATAGAGTTGTGTGCTGACCAAGGATCTTTCGAAAGAGACAGTAAACATTCTCTCTGATATGCTGTGAAAGCTGAAGTCTTTCGACCATTCCATTAATTCTAACAGCAGCTAACTTCAGAATCTAAAAGAAATAAAACTACATCGATAAGCCCCAAAAAAAAGGGATACAAGACGGGAAGGCATGCTACATGAATGCATTAATTTATGCTGTTCAGTAAGGCAGATATCGTATTTGAAGTTTCAGTATTACGATGGATTGGAATCAAAAGATACATCATCCTACAAAAGTTGGTCTAGAATATAGATTAGTACTGTACTACTATGATACCAACTTGCAAAGTGGCAAGGGGAAAAAGTTCAAAGCCCTAACCAGGCAATTAATTATTCAACTTTTATGAACGAGAAACAACAAACCAAAAGTTCACACATTTCCATAGCTACACAAAGCCACTGGAACACTTTGACCACATAATATTTGAAACCCTAGCCAGAAGTGTATAATCTATTACAACAAAAAAGATCAACAGCTAATTTACCATATACCTTACTGAAAAACACATTGACTGCTGTTTCCGCACATGTTTCCCCTCCGCCACCTGGGTTTGGCCTTGTGGGACTGAAAACAAGTAGAAAAGTAGACTAAACTGGAAGCCAGAGTACAACAAATCCTTGACAGCAGAAACTATATAGGTTTTCATGCTCCTTGAGCTACCAGAGCAAATACCTGGCAAATTCAGACTGCAGAACAGGTGTAGGAATCTTAGATTTCAGATTATTCATGGACAAACGGCGATCCTTCACCGGTGAAGTGAAGGAGTTCCGCTCAACCAATACACTCCGATGCTCGCTGCAGACTCTTTTTGGGGAGCGAATATCTCCATTCTGGCCTGGAAGTATTATTGCAAACGTCAGTGTGAAGTATATTCAATTACCAAGAATACACACAGAGTTCAAACAAACTTCATCCTAACCTAAAACGTACAGACTTGATTAATACTTTAAAAAGACAACAAGCTTTGGAAAACGCAAAGTCACAATAATCCATTACCATGCAGTTCATGTGTGGGAGATAAAACCCCACATGACATTTCGACATGCAAAGCAATTGCATCCAAAGAGGGCATAGGGTCAGCTAACAACCCCTGTCGATTTATCTCTGCAGAAAAGGCTGGTCTAGCTATCGTCAAGGAGTTGTACATAGAAGAGCCCCTCTCCCAAACCATGCTCTCCAGAAGTCGTTCCTCCAGAGAATTCAGGTGCCTCCTTAGTTCCCTGGGGAGACTCTCCTCATGCCTAATGAAGCTTTCTATCACCTTACTGAGATCAAAAGCAGTTATCCCTGTTCTCTCCAAAACAGTTGGAAACAACATGGTCACGGTTTTGTGTGTTGCGAGAACAAGCTCGGCAGAACACGCGAGCATACACCTGTGAAACCTCTCGTTCGTCAGCAAACAAGTTAAATTATTTTTTCCGTGCGGAATTTGTGACTCCGCTGTGCATATTGCTTGCAGAACCCTCAAGTAAAGCTTCATTGCCTCCATTCGACGTTGTTCGGCCCATATGTTGTCCATCAAGCTTGCATTTTTCCCAGCCCCACTTCTTGGAAAGATGGCCTCGAGGATTATTTGGGCCCTCTTCATTACATCAGCTGTCACATCCCAATCGCATGACGAAAGGAATCTGGACAGTTCGTCTGAAGGCTTACTAGGCAGTGGAGAAATAACTGTTCGGAGCCATTTCGCAGTTGTCAAGGCCGTACTGACAGGAGTGGCTGCTAAACCACCAATTGAATGACGTAATGGAGAGCGGAAAGGAGATAGTGGGGTGCTTGTAACTGTCGTCTTTGTCGGCGAGGTTATTGAGTCAAGTTTCCTCTGAATTGTAAGAACAAGATGAACATGCACAGTTAGGAAAAATTAACGCTTCTAAAGGGGATGCTTGGATATAAAATATTTTGATTTTGTTTGGATTTTTGGGTTTGGTATGGTTAGTTATTTGAGATTTTGAGTTTATATTAAAATAATATCTAAAATAAAATAATCAAAATTGATTTGATGTAAAAGTAGGAAAGAGATAATGTGAAGTGATGATTAGTTAAAATTATGTGAATGGATGAATAGTGAATTAAAATTGATGTAATATATAAGAATGATTGAGTCGTATTATTTAATTATATTGATAATATTAAGGATGATGGGGTTGAGTTAAAGTTGAGTTAGATTTAAGTTAGAGTGATTAGTTAAAAATGATTAGAATTTTTTGAAAAAAATTGTATCCAAGCATCCCTTAAGGCTATGTTTGTAAAAGAAAAATCTCAAACCAAGTTAATTCATACTCAAAATTTAACTCAACCCCACTATCCTCAATATTATCAATATAATTAAATAATAACAATCAATCATTAAATAATAACAACCAATCATTTTTACACATCATATCAACTTTAATTCACTATTCATCCACTCACATAATTTTAACTAACCATCACTTCATATCATCTCTCTCCTACTTTTACATCAAACCAATTTTAATTATTATATTTTAAATATTATTTTAATATAAACTCAAAATCCCACTAATAACTATTTATACCACTTTTTCTAAATTAACCTTAGTTAACTGAAAAAAAACTCACTTTGAGTTAATTCACTCAAATTATTTCTTTTACAAACACACCTTAAATCTCTTCGATATTTTTTAGCTTATGAAAACCAACCTTAGCTCCAGTTCCATCTATCTTTACAGCACCTCCTGACAAGCTCCCTGAACCTAGCAAGCTGTCATTTTCATTGATAAATATCCTCTCGTCCAAGTCACCGTTAGTCTGAATAGC